ATGTAAGTCAGACAAATTGAGTTTAAATTCAGAATCTTTATTTTTATTTTTTTAACGTAGGCTAATCCTGTGATTCCTGTGCTGCCGCACCCCCCGCACCCCTAGTTCCGACGTCTATCAGCCCATATAGTATAATATTTTACAAATGATGAATTACAGCAAACATGTGCAATATATCCATTATTACAGCTCCGTGGGATGGCAGTGAGACGATATGGGTCCGTTGTTATTGTGCATCCATGGGTAAAGATAAACGCATGTAGTGCTGAACCTGCTGAACACGTAACATGAACGTGCCGGGCTGCGCGGTGCCGTGGGTTAGATGCGCGTTCATAATGCAGAGGGATATAACTCTCAGAATAACGTTATTAGCACATTTTTACAACTTGAGGAACCAATGTTTTTAATAAGGGCTATACAAGTGTTCATACTGGGTGGTTTATTTAGTTTAAAAAAAATTATCCAACGATTTACAGACCATTCTTTCCCCATATCAGTCAATGGGAAAAAGTGTTTCTGGGACCAGCAACCAAACGGAAGTGTAGTACCGCCGTTTGGCCAGCACGAATATTCTCATCAGACTCCGGCGCACTTCCTGGGGGCTTGGTTGCAACACACACTAATCACACGGTGAATTATATACTAATAATGTGACACCACAATACATTGTTTATTATCAGAGGTGAGCATGTAAGCATGGTAACATTTGTCAAATCTTACAACTTAAGTAACAAGAGGTAACAGGTAAAAAACGGTTGTACTTAAGCATTACACCTCCCAGGATTTGCAACAAATAACTATAAGTTACCAACAACCTGCTAACTTAATTCACACACTGCTGGCCACGCCATTGGGAGTAACTTGAGGTTAAGTATCTTGCCAAATGATACATCGACATGTTGACTGCAAGGGCTTGGATCGCACCCACAACATTCGGATTGAAAGACGACCACACTCCCAGATCATTCCTAAACATTAGTCATAGAGTGAAACTAAGACTGCAATGGAAACATGTTTTATTATTCTTCACTACCCACATATAGGCCAGAGATAAAGTGGCCTCTGGAGCAGCAGGGGCTAGTAAAGTGTCTTTCTCAACTCAAGGTGGATTACATTGATTAGAATAAATAAAATAAACTCTAGTCATCCCTGTGGATAAATTAAGTCATTATAGCCCCAAGGAGTAAGGATAAAGTGTGCTTAGTCTTCCTGCTCACCTCTTAACTCAACTGCCCCAGACCCTTACACTCAGAATATTGCTGCCAGAGTACATGATGATGTATGCCAGTAGGGAAATTCAACGTAGCCAGGTTGGTCTAACCTCAGAAATCAGCCAAGAAAAAGAAAACAAATCTCACACTTTACCACAGGAAAACACCCTTTATATTAGTGATGTAAGCAGCTCCGTAGATGGATGCCAGCAGGGAAAATACCTCTCCCCTCTCCCAGCAAGAGTAGCAGCCAACAGAGAGTTACCCACCTATGCTCCCTGTTCGCTATTGCAGAGTCTCTGAAAGATGATTAATACTCTGGGCAGGGCAGCATTTGTGTCTGAAGCCTGAAACAGACTAAGAATAGTCTGTGTGCACATCTATATATACAAAACTCTCAGCGTCAGCCAAGGGTGTGGCAGACTTACTGTAGTCGCTGCACAGCCTGTCAGTTTCTGTCCTTTATCTTCCAAGACTGTCCTCACATGACTCAGTCCCAAGAGTTTGGTTTCAATCCAAGAAGATTTCTCAGAAAGATTAGGGATGACATATGTTGCTGGGAATAGATGAGTGCAAATACAATTAGAAAAACAAAAAAGTAATATTTGTTGGATTGAAGAGGGACCAAGAAAGGGAGAAACCCACTGATTGCATAGCAGTGCAACCCTAACCCTCCATGGCCTTATGTCCCTCAGCTCTTTCCAGACAGCTCATCAAAGTTTTCCCAGCCGAACTTCTTTTGAATTATAACAACAGTAACACTGTAGATTTACCAGAAACCCTATAAAGTATATTACATTGCTGCATTAATCCTCTTGGTGCCATTGTAACTGGAGAGCAAAATGGCCTCTCATTCTGCCAATTCCTCCACCTCAGCCCTTTATCTTTATAGATTTACAGTATGTAGCTCTGCCGTTTGACCTCTTCCTGTACTGGCACCTCTATGCATTCCCACTTTGAGTTCATAACTGTTTGAATTATTCTGGTTTAAGGTCATAATATCATCCGCAGCTGAGATTTGTTGGGTCCACGACAGCAGTTTTGGAAAATTATGAGCATAACAGCACAACTTTAACAAGCTGTCTCATGGCTTGAATTGGTCCTATGGCCTCAATCTGCCTAAAATCTGATGCCAAAACAGGAAATAGTGTGTGTGTGTGTGTGTGTGTGTGTGTGTCATTGAACATTGATGCAGAGCTTGTGGAGTCTGATGCGGTGAGTTTGCACTATTGTACTT